CGCCGTCGTTCGCAGGGCTGCTGGGGGGGAGCGGACGGAGCGGCACCTTCTCCAGCTCCGCTTCCAACGGGCCTGTGAACCGTCCTCCGAAAGTGGGAGTCTGCTCTCTCCTTATCCACACCAAAGAGGATGGGCTTGTCCTAGGGGATCTGCCCTGGTGCAATGGCCCTTGCTGACTGGTTTGCTTTCATGTTTGGATTTTCAGAGAAGCTGGATGAGATTTTGGCAGCAGCAGAGCCCTCGCTGAGAGCAGACATCGTCGAAGCGGATTCTAGGGCAGCCACTGTGAAGCAGCGACCAACGAGCCGGCGCATCACGCCAGCAGAGATCAGTGTGAGACAGCGGGGCCGGCGCGGGAGAGCGACGGGCACCGCGTCCCGGCTCCAGGGGCTGGGATTGGGAGGCGGATTCGCAGGAGGGGGTGGAAAACCAGGGCTCTGCGTGAAGACGGGGTGCAGGGAGGGCAGGGGTCCACACAGGAGGTTCAAGAGCAGACCCAGGCGTTGGGGCACTCGTTCACAAATATGACACTGATGACAGGAAGGATATAAGAATATGCCTGAAAAAAAGGTGGAGAGCTTAGTTGGAGAGCTTAGTGTGGCTGAGGTTTTCAGGATGTGAACCTGGATATTAGGAGGCATCACAAAAGGGAAAGATGCAGCCTGTGAGGAGCAACAGGGATGGAGCAGGGGAGAGGGTGGCAGCTCCAGGCCGGTCCGTGTTCTGTCGGCAGCGGGAGGCAGCTGCTGGAGCAGGAGACAAGGTGGGACACGGCGATGCCGAGCAGAGGGTGCCTGTGTGGAGCCCTCGCACACAGGGAAGGCTCCTGTGTGCCTAGATGGAGTCCTAGACGGAGCAGTGTGAAACCCAAGGAAGCCCCATATATTATCACACCATGGTCACAGAGCGCCCAAGGACAGCAAGGGGAGGCAGGAGCTAGGAGAGGAGGAGGAAGGTTTATCCTTTATCGGGTATTGGCACAAATTCTGGAGACATTCTGCATGGAGAAACACTGCGAATAGGTTTAGGAGGGTGGGAGTGAGGAAGGGGCTGTGGAGTTGGTCCTTGGTCCCAAGGAAGCCTCCCCTGTGCCCGGAGCTGCCTGCAGGGACAGGCTCCTTGGTGTTGCAGCCCCAGCCGCATCCAGAATTCCAAGAATCGGGTGCAGGAACATGAGGTATTTGCTTTCTTCTGATTCTCACAGGTGTCAAGAATGGAAATTTCCTTTTTTTCCTTTCAGTCACTCTTTGAACGCCAGGGTATGGCCGCACATTCAGGGGTCCTTTCAGGAGCCGAGAAACCCCATGTTTCCCTGCGCAAAGGAATTCCACGAACAAAATCCGTAGGTAAGACCACGTGCGGGGAAAGCGGTTCCTAAAGCAGCAGGGTGGTCCTCGCGCTCCCTGCAGCCCCTGAGCCTGCAGAACACACTCAGCCTCCTGGCCTCCCTCATAACTGGAATCTGTTAGGAATACCTATGCAAAGGGAGTTCTACCTGCGTGTGTCCCCAAAAAATGATTCAACATGGACACGAGGTCTGCTTTGAGCAGAAGGGTGGGCTGGAGACCTCCCGGGTCCCTTGGTCCATGGCTGTTTGTGGCGCTGCCGGGGCAGGGACCTGCCTGCCGCTCTGGGTGCTCCCACGGGATGGATGGACGGGTCCTGCTGCGGCCGGGCTGGCAGCACAGAGCTGAGTACACGGGGGCTGGAGCGTTGGACCACGAGCTGGAGCAGGAGGAGCTGCTGGAGCCGGCAGCAGCCGACGGTCTCCAAGAACGAGC